CAGGTCTGCTGTCATCTCACTTACCAAGAGATGTATCCCCGAAGAGGGGAACTAATGCTTTGTTCTTTCCCTGCTTCTAAGAGCTGAATGTTGTTGGATGCTTACTCAATGCCACACACTGAGCTAACGTGCTACACAAATGATCTAATGTAGTCCTCCCTACCATCACATGAGAAAGTATAATTATTCATCCACCTTCATGGAAGTGGAAACTGAGGCGTGGGAGTTTATATGACATGTCTGTGGTTACACACCTGCCAAATAAGTAGCAGAATTGCAAAAACCAAAATCTGTCTGATACCAGAGCTGGATTCCAAACAGTCCCCTTGACTGCTTCTCCCAGCTGTCTTCTGAGGTCCTCCATAAAGACTTCCTACAGGACGAATCGGCTGAACATCAGCTGTGTGCAGTGACTGACACAGAGCAAGTATCTCCCGCATATCTTTGGACACGGATGAAGAAGTCCAAACCCTTTCTTAGTAGCCTTTCTCTAACCAGAAAGCTCAACAACTTCTGTTTCTCAAAAATTTTCAGCAATTAGTTAAAAGAAGTCTTATGTCTCTATAGACATGTATTCATATAAAACTGTGGACTGAATTTCCCATTTCTACCACGGGATAAAACACATGTGAAGTTCTAACATTTCTTCATCCAACCATGTTTTTATTTCCAGCCATTAATAATGATGACAAGCAGGAAGACTTTAATCCAAAGAATTGAGCAACTTGAGCAACAGAAGTGAGAACAGAATCTTACTCCACTAATTGTTCTAAAGTGCTGTGTTCATTAACCTGCTTGGTTTGTTACCATTTTACAAACTCACACTCTTGCTACATTTTGAAAATGTTTGTTATTACATGCTTGTGAAATACGTATTTTAAATCACAGCTTAGTAACAAAGCGAAGGTGGAAATGATTTCATTTGCCATTTGAAGTCTTGTTTCAAAGATTCTGAGAAAAATAGAATTCCAACAAGATGAAAAGTTAATTTATCTATCTCAAATTGTAAGTGTTCTATAAAACTAGAAGGGAGCTAGATACAGAGATATAAATGCATAGTGAAATGTTACTCCGAAATTTACTTTCAAACACTACAAGTGATCCTCCAGTTTCACCAACATTTTTGGTCTTGTTCAGTGGGGACGTATGGAGATACCTGTCTGATTATGGCCTTTCTGGAATCCTCTATCATTTGAACACATAACCTGACTATGCTTTGGTGGGCTTTGCTCATGAGACTGTGTGAAGTTAATGCCATCCAGAGTGCAGCATTTCATTATGGACTGCATTAAGCGCTCACTCTCTCATATGGGTCAACTCATTAAAGAATCATAAAACATGAGGACCAAGGAGGACCTCAAAGTCCATTTGACCTAGTCTCCTCACTTTCCAGATAGAAACCAGAAGCTCAGAGATGTTGTCTGACTTGTTCAAGGCCATGTAGCCATCTCATCTCCTTGCGGATTTGGTATGTGGAAAAGCATCAAAATCAGATGGAATATAAGGACTCAGAGGTGAGTTATAGCTCTGCCTGTAACTAGAAAGATCTAGTTCTGGGGTGATTACAGCTCTGAGCTTCAATTTCTCGTGTCTATGATAGAGATTCAATCTTACAGACAATAACAAAGTATGTTTTACAAAATGTCTGGTTTATATAGTAGACACTTGGAAATGTTATTTCCCCCTTCCTAAAAGCATCTTGAGATGAAAGATGTAATAGGACCAGCCTATCTGACTTCAGATTTGAGTCATCCTGTTGTTACCGATTAGCTGTCCTGTAATCTGAGTGTTACCTTTCCTTGGGAGAGAACCGTTTTGGAGAACTCTTAGCTGTTGTTGTTTATTTACCTTAGGAGGAACCCTGAAACCGGGAAGGCAGTTTTCCATGATAAGACCCATTTATTGTTCTTGGAAGGCTGACCTAGATTTTCCCAAATATATGAGTTCGCCAAATGACATCCCTTAGTGTCCTACGGATTGAATATGTGGATGGGTTCCCTTGCTCATCAATGGCTTATCTAGTTATAGAATGCTCTGGTCTTTTCCAGACCCAGGCTGACAACTTTCTAATACTGATGAATTCCCACTTGCCATAAAGCTTACTCTGGTGGTTGAGATTCCCCACACCTGCAAAAGAGCAGGAATCTTCTGATCTTTCTGTGAATTAAAGAATCCCTACTTTCTGGATAGGGCAGCTCTACTCTGTCCTATAGGGTTGGTATGAGTCAGAATCTACTTGACGGCAACAGGTTTGGTTTTGGTTTTACTCTCTGGCTGGAGCCCTGGTGCCACAGTGGTTAAGAAGCTCGGTTGCTAACCAAAAGGTCGGCAGTTCCAATCTACCAGCTGCTCCTTGGAAACCCTATGGGGCAGTTCTTCTCTGTCCTAGAGAGTCACCGTAAGTCGGAATCAACTCGATGGCAATGAATTTGGCTTTTTTAAACTCTCAGGATATTCAAGGAAAAGGAGAAAGTGCTACTCTATGGCTTAGGAAGGGTTACTTAAGGTTTCCAAAATTCCAAGGATTTTTTTTTAATATTTTTTTCTTTGATATGAAGAAATTCCTGTTCATCACAGAAAACTCCCCAAATCCGGATATACATAAAGAAGAAAATTAAAATCATTCTTTAGCCTACAAACCAGATGCCATAATAATTTCTTTTCCACATTTGGAATCATAATGTACATACAGATTCTAACACCTTCTTCTACTTAATAAACAAGGTATGGTCAGTTTTTTCTCATGTTGTTAAATATTCTTCATCAATTCCTTTCCTTAGTGGTTGTAGGATAATATATCCATTTTTGACAGAGCAGATACTAAATAAAAGACATTTTATTGGAATCATGAGAGATCAAAATCAAAATTAATCTACTTGCTTTGAATAGACAAATCACCCTGAGCAACCAGCCTCGGTGTAATACGAAATCTTGGAGGGTTATTGCGGCAAAATCTCCATTGCTAATAAATTGCCAATAATGTTTGTTATGTAACTTAGGTGGTAGAATAGGCTAATATAAAAGTTAATCTAAGAAAGACCGCCTGTTTTTATAACTAAGAGAACCAATATCAGCAGAACAAAAGCACAGAAAGCAATTTTTCTGTGTAATTATGGAGAAAAAGAGGGATTTAAGAGAAAACAGGAAGAGTGTTTAGGATGATTAAATTAAAACTGGAGAAAATAAAGCCACCATTATGCATGGAATATAGTTCCTGTGGTCTAGGAATCGGGAGATCAACTGTGGGGCTGTGAGCAAGTGTGGGACCCATGTGCTGGCGGTTGGTGTCTTCAGCCTGCTAGATGACTCCTCAGCCCTTGTTCATCTCAAATACTTATTGAAAGAAAAGAAGCAAACCCACCTGCTGTCCAGTCGACCCCAACTCATGGTGACCCTATGCGTGTCAGAGTAGAACTGTGCTCATAGGGTTTTCTTTTCTTTTCTTTCTTTCCATCGTCTTTTTTCTTTTTATTATTATTATTTATTTATTTGCTTATTTATTTTTGCTCATAGGATTTTCTTTTTTAAAAAATTTGAGGCCCAGGTGGTCCAGTGGTTAAGAGCTACGGCTACTAACCAAAAGGTTGGCAATCCGAATCCACCAGCCACTCTTTGCAAACCCTATGGGACAATTCTCCTATGACATATAGGGTTGCTATGAGACGGAGTTGATTCAATGGCAATGGGTTGTTGTTTTTTTTTTTAAATTATTTGTGTATTTATTTTTGCTCATAAGGTTTTTGGTGGCTGATTTTTCAGGAGTGGGTTGCCAGGCCTTCCTTCCGAGGTGCCGGTGGGTGGACTCAAACCTCCAACCTTTTGCTTAGCAGCCTAGTGCGTTAACCGTTTGCACCACGGAGGGCATCCTCTGAAAGAGAACATTTATTGAATACCTGGAATATGGCAGACGCCTTGCCGGTGGTGCGGACACAAAGATGCATAAGACTTGGTCTCTGCTGTCAGAGAACACCAGTGTCGTGTGACAGGCAGATGATAAGCACACGCTTACAGTACCTTGTGACCAAGGGCAATTTATTTGTGCATTGTCGGTTTTGGGAACACAGAAGTAGCATTGAACCGTGTCTTAGGAGTAGGGATGTTTCCACATAAGTGTTATCTCAGCTGAATCCTGAAGAATGGGTTCAACTGTTGGGCAAGAGGAAGAATGACCAGTTTTTACAAAGTCCAAGTAAAAAAAGTAAAAAAAAAAAAAAAAAAAAAAAGTCCAAGTCAAAGTACCTTTGGTGTACACACCTGGCACTTTTCTAAGATCCAGAGGAGAGTGGAAGAGTGTACGTTGTGGTCTTTGTCCCCAGGATTATCAAACCACATTCCCTATGGCTTAGCCATCCACTTGCCACCACTTCCTTCTCAAAAATGGTGAACGCCATTGTTTTGGGAAAGGGCTCAGAGACTGAGCAATAGGAGTCTGCTAAAGCTTGAAAGCAAATCTGGTTATACACCCATCTGTTTGCCAATCTGGTTTCAAATTTTTTCTCTGGTGTGCAGCTAAGATTCACCTTGAACGATTGTGTATGATTTTATTTCACCTCACTCCCTACTCTGAGAAAAGTCCCTACTTCAATTGGGTGATAACGTTTTCTGTTACAGCCACTTTACAGCTGTAACTTGAGAATTGCAGCTGGCCAGGTTACTCCGTGTGCAGAGTCATTAGGGAGTGTGAAACACAGGTCCCGGACTTTGGCCAGGAGGACCACCAGGCCCTACTTCTGCTATGCTATGGGACGTTTTTCTGAAGTTACTAAACTAGTACAGACAAAATACTTTCAGCATCAAGAACCCCACAGAGTTTATAGGCAAAATAGCATGTTAAGGATGTCAAGTTAGCATACACGCACACAAAGCCACCGTATAGCTCTATATTTTCATACTTCTAAAACTAAAGAGTTTGAAATTTTAAACTTGTATATTTTAATATTACCGTTTTCTTTGTCTAGGAGGAAAGGTTGAGATCTGCTCTCTTTGGATACTTTTGTTTAAAGATGTTGTCACCTATACCCATTCACTATCCATCCCCCCCCCCAAAAAAAACAAAAAACTGTGGATGACATTTTTCACAGCTTTGCTCCTGGGGTAAATGCCGTTTACTGTGAATTCGGTGATCTACTGTCGTGATCTTCTGATAAAAACAGATACTACACTTGATCTTAGCCAAAAGGCCGAGAAGCGATGTGATCTTCTAATAAAACATTAGAAATGAATAAAACGAACAGCAACAGATAATGCCCAAGGCTTAAATCAAGTGAAATGAAAATCCTTGATTCAGTGGGCATCACTCACAATCCACTCTAGATAATAGGGAACCTTTATAGAGAATTCTGTAAGTACCCCTGTGTCTTATTGCTGGGAGGTGCTAGTGGTGGTGACTTATCTAAACTGCACAGTTCTGGGGAATGTGGAAGATAGCACGTGCTACACACACACACACACCAAGTCTCTGGATTCTATGCCCAGGTAAACCAGAAAAGAGGAAGGGCCTGGGCAGTGTCCTGAGAATGGTCTGGATTGTGTGTATCCATGTATCCTTGACAGAATAGATAGAACCTCATTCATACTCACTTCCTTTAAACCATCAGTCTGATGTGTTACGTCCCCACATGACCTCTCTGTCCTTCTTGCCTTGCCTGAGCAATATCCCCGCTTTAGCTTGCGTGGAGGAGTTTACGGATCCCTGACAGCTTTGATATTATATGTCAAGATGAGTTAGAAGTGTTCAATGCTCTAGTGATACACAGGCTTACTCTGTAATGTAATTACTCAGAAGATCTTTGAAAATGCTCCCTTAAAGAAAGAATGGAGCCCTGATGGCACAGTGCTTAAGAATTGAGGCTGCTAACCAAAGGGTCGGCAGTTCAAATCCACCAGCCACTCCTTGGAAACACTATGGGGCCGTTCTACTCTGTCCTGTAGGGTCTCTATGAGTGGGAAGCGACTTGAGGGCAATGGGTGAAGAAAGAATAATCTATGAAAGATTCCTGGAGTGAGGTAGCAACCGCTAGAGGGTGCAGCCGGATCCCTGCCTGCTGGGAACCACCCTCCTGGGAAGCAACCGTGAGCTAACTGGGGAGGTAAATGGAATAAGAGAGAGCTACCTGGAACCAGAAGAGCTTTCAAGGAGAGCTGGTGTGGGGCCACCTGCTGGGAACTGTCTGGAGCTAGCAAGAATTTTGCCCCCTCCATCTGCGTCTTGGCCTGGCTAGCTCCTACTGAGCCTTCTGGTCTGAATTTAAAATCGCTCCTCTCACATGTCCTTACGTGTGTGTTCCTGTGTAGCACTTTCCATGATCACGGATTCATGCTTTTACCAAGTTCCTTGAGGGCAGGTCTTATTCACCACTGTGCCTACCCGCCTATTACGGGGCCCAGCCCTGAAAAGATGTCTAGTCAGTACAGTGGCAGAGCGTCAATCAGCATCTGCCAGAAGACACTGCCAACTGGTGTGGTTGCCAAGGGGAACTGTCCAGAAGTACCCTCTTGGCAGTGCCGTAAGGCACACTGAGAAAGTGGGAAAACATAATTACTAACAATCTTTAGTTCCCTCTCATCCAGAGTGAGTCATCCCGAGGGAAAAGGAAAACAATCCCATGGCCAACTAAACATTGGGAATGCAGTAGAGAGTTTTGGTTTCTCAGTATAGTAACTGAAAAGAGACACCACATTCTCACTAGAAAGCCTAGTGGAGTTCCAAACCAAAAAAAAAAAAAAAAAAAAACCCAAACCATTCCCATGAAGTTGATTCTGACACATAGCGGCCCTACAGTAGGACAGAGTAGAACTACCCCGTAGGGTTTCCAAGGAGTGGCTGGTGGATTCGAACTGCTGACTTTTTGGTGAGCAGCCGAGTTCTTACCCACTGCACCAACAGGGCTCCTAGTGTATGATCCCACTTACATGAAATAGGCAAACGTAAAGAGACCGGATTTTATTAGTGGTTACCAGAGGTGGGAGGGAGAGGGAAACAGGGAGTCTTAGCTTCTGGGGCACTGAGTTTCTGTTAATGGTGGGGGAAGAATTTGGTTAACGGATATTGATGATGACTGTACAGCATGATGGATGTAACCAGTGTCACTGACTTGAAAGTGTAAACAATGTTGAATTGACAAATGTTTTGTTATATGTATTTTTCTACCAAAAAAAAAAAAAAAATCTGAAGTAGGCTTAAAGTCTAACCTGATACTCAGATTCCTAGTAGACAGAGAAGCCTCTGAAAAGAGTTATTGTTTTTGTTGCTGGGTGCTGTCAAGTCGATTTTCGACTCATAGTGACCCCCGTGACAGAGTAGAACTGCACCATAGGGCTTTCTAGGCTGTGATCTTTATGGGGGCAGATGGCCAGGTCTTTCTCCCGCAGAGCTACTGGGCGGGTTCAAACCCTCAACGTTTTGGTTAACAGCCAAGCACTTAACAATTGTGCCAACCAGGGCTCCTTATGAAAAGATTTAGAGGAGCAGAATGTAACAGCTAACTTTACCTCACTCTTTTTTCCCAGTAAGGAGTCCTGGTGGCACAGTGGGTAAGTGCTAACCAGAAGGTCAGAGGCTAGAACCTTCCAGCCACTCTGTGGGAGAAAGACGCGGCAGTCGGCTTCTGTAAAGATCAAAATCAATAACCTGTTGCCGTCAAATCGATTCCAACTCATAGGAACCCTATAGGACAGAGTAGAATTGCCCCATCGGGTTTGCGAGGAGAAGCTGGTGGATTAGAACTGCTGACCTTCTGATTAGCAGCCAAGCTCTCAACCACTGCACCACCAAGGCCCTGGAAACCTTGTGGGGCAGTTCTACTCTGTCCTGTAGGGTCGCTATGAGTTAGAATCGACTCCACGGCAGTGGGTTTGATTTTTTTGGTTTTCCTGGTGGAGGTTCTGCAAGGCAGGAAAACAGATGAGATGTGGGCAGCAGGATAAAGGAGAAGAAGCAAATGACCTAAAGGATTCCCAGTTAGAGCCCAGTATCCAGCCCCTGAGTAATTCCAAGTTGCCAACAGTTGTCTTCACTTCTACAATGAAGAAAATGACCATTTTGGAGGCAGGTGGAGAAGAAAATGTTTTCTTCATCCATTAATTTTTTTTTCTTTTGTTTCCATTTTCCTCTGCCTTGTTCCAAAAAGAATAAAATGCTCGAAACGCAATGGAAGTGGAAGTTAGCGCATGCGGGGAGGGCACTAGCGCATATGTTCGTTGGCCCCTTCTTTCAGTAAGGAGGCTGTACTGAACAGTACGTATAAATACGCCGTGACCTCATTCATTAAAAATAGTGTGGTAAGCTGGGGCCCAGCTCTCTCTCACAAGGACAGTTTGGAACACATCTAATTGCTGGATTTCATTTTGCAAAAATGCTCCAGGATATAAATCATTAAGGTGAATTTATTCACCAACCCTTCTTCCCAGTAAAACTAGACTGAATGTCGAGCCGACGTAACCTCAGTCCTTGAAAGAAATCGCCAGTCCTGGGTTCTGAAGAAGCCCCACAATTCAGGTGCTTGCTAAATAACATAAAGCTCCGACGCCTAAAAAGTTGGCGTCCAGCCACTTTCTCTCCCTGGTTAGGTTTTTATTTTAAAATATTCAATACTTTGCTCCGTGGTTAAAAAAAAAAAATACCAGGTCCTTTTGTAAAAGCTGCTTTAATGAAATGCATTTAACAAGTGTTACTCAGCATACTCACAAAGAAGGCAAAATGGATCTCAAAACATGTGCCCAAGAATACCGTAAATAATCCCACACCAGCGCTTTGGAAGGAATTCAGCTTTTCCCATATCTGGAAAGAACACGATTGTGTGTGGTGCCACAAGAAAAACCACTTGGTGGCACCGTGCCCACCCCAGCTGACAGACGTGAAACCCAACACAGAAAAAGGGAAATCCATCTGCTGAGGCTGAGGCCGGCAGGTGGCCAGGGCTCAGGAACACCCAGTTGGGCAAAAGCAGGACGGAGGAGCAGATAGCGCTGGGAGCTGTGAGTCAGCTGGGCAGGCTCGCCTGGGTGAAGACTAGAACCCTCCTTCTACAGATCCCTCTGCTACCCCAACTCGATATGAAAATAAATCAGAGGAGGTGTCACAGAGTCACATTCCTGAGCACGGGTCACTGTCTTGAAAGGAGATTTTGAGTCAGTTGATATCTGACCAGAGATTTATGCAGGGTCATTAAAGTCTTTTAAAAATAAATAAATACAACTGCAGCCAACTTTCAATTATCCATGGTAATGAGGTAACCAGGCTGAGTGAAGGCTACAGAGGGGTAGGGAAACTAAGGCTTCCTGAGTGCTTCCTGGGTGCATTCTTTGTCGCTTTAGATCCTTTCTTTATCTCTTTTGATCTTTTTCTACAAATCACAGAGAATGAGGCTGAAGCTCAGAGAAGTCAGTCAGCTCACCTCAAGTTGCACAGCTCATGAATGCCGGAGTTGCAATTCAAATCCAGGTTTGTCAGTCTCCAATCCACGGTCTTTCCATTGTTCTACATCGCCTCCTGCTACAGCCTATTCTTTCAGTGTGTCAAACTTACAACAAAACTCCTAAAAAACAATAGTAACAGGCTAGAATTCTTCTTTTTTTCCTTTTTTCTGAATGCTTAGCTGAAACGGCAAAAAAATCTAAGGGATGACAAGTTAGGCAGCAAAAGGAAGCCAAGCAAAATTCAAAAACAGCACAAGTGTTTCCTAAAATACCAAGAATGTTGATGATCTGATCAGTTCGCCATCATGCCAGCTGAGAACACAGTTCTTAGCACCTGTTTGCACCCTCTTGTATGACATTGTTTTTAATGGGCTCCAAGGTGGTGTTGAACACCCTCCCAAAGTAAGTTATGGGTTTACTTTGTTATTAAACCAAAAATCTTTATGGTAAGGTGGATCCCATCAGTATTTAACACATCTTCAGTTTGCTGATGGCTTTAAAGAACTAGGGTGAAGACAAAGTTCTAACATTTCACACGTTTCTCTCTAATGACAGGTGTGGACAATGCTTCTTCCACTGGTAGCATCTTGTAAGTATAAGTATACTCCTAAATGCAAAGCTTTGTCTTCTCATTCTTTGGTAAAAATAGCCAGTTTTTACTGAAATGTTCCTTTTTTTTTTTTTTGGAGTTAACAGATGCATGGACCTGGACATCTGACAAAGGTGACTCACTGTCTTTAGGAAGAGATTACAGTGTACTGAGTCACCCTGATGA